AATTTACAATTAATCTTACTCATCATATATAACAATATTCTGGGTAATGTCATAGGTTGTTGTAATCAGTATTATAGGTGATAACTTATCTAGGCCTTTTATTGATGCTCTTCAAACAACTTCTAGAGTAGGAGGAATTTGTGACTCCCATAGTTGCTCCCAATATATAAAAATAATTCTCTAAAATCTATTATTTGCAAGGTTTTTAGGGAGTTTTGTTGAAATGAGAAAAAAAATAATACAATCCCCATGAACAAAAAGAATATAGAATAGCTAGCACTCAAAAAATATAAAAATGAAGACTACAGTCTTAAAGGTGAAGTTTGTCTAAAGTTGCTCCTTAGAAAAGTGTTGATTAGATGATGCTTGAAGCTATTTTTTCTGTTCGGAAAAAACAAATCGCTGTTATTTTTCTGGCCTAACAAAGTCTAAATACCGGAAGACCAAAATGAAGGATAAGCATATACAGAGCTCAAGAGTCAGCACACCGGTATCGCCTATGGTTCTATATGGTCTTGGCCCATGGGTTATGGTTTAGTGCTAGGACTTGGTACACTAACGGGTCATGCAGGGTGAGCATTGTATAACTTCTTCCTTTGTTACCTTTATTTTTTCCTTTGTATAGCTTCTTCATTTGTTTGTTAAATTATTCATCAATTCTCAAAGACTTGGAAGATTTAACTTCTTTAGTAGGTGTTTATTGGTATTATCCGGTTTTTTAAACCCTAGGTAAGTGCCCCCTAAGTTCAATTTCTAGGTAAGTGTCTTCATTATTGTGGAACTATATGAATTCCAATTTATTCAAAACCCAAATTCACATGAAGAAAGCCTTTCTTGAGGCGAGGGTCAAAACATGTAATGCGATGGCTATGAAGAGGGGGAGGGAATAACTGAAGAAGACGGTTGAGTATGTGAAGATTTTGGAAGCGAAAGATGGAGTTAGAGGCTAATCTTAAGAGAGATCAAAGGATATAAAGGCTAAGATGAGGATGAGTGGTTTTCTTGCGTGGGTAGAAGAAAAGGATAGCTCATCATCAGGTAAACAAACATTTATTTTTGTCAGTGGCTTCTCATAACATGTTTTGGCCCCTGCCTCGAGATAGACTTTCTTCCTATAAGTCTGGGCTGTGATGCCTACAAACATGCTCTCCACATCCATCTTTTTAAGTTCCAATATAGTCTAGGTATATACAAAATTAGATAAGGTTTTAAAGACAATAATAGCAAAAAGTATGGTGCTGATCTCCTCAGCTTTACTTCCCATCCAACAACTGTAATATATTCTTTAAAGAATGGGTGGGACACTATGAACTCTAATTTTTAGACAAGTTGATCCAAATACAAAAAATTAGGAAAGCCAAAAATGATCTGCTTCCTTGGATTTTTACAAAATCTTCTTTACATGAAATGTGGTAATCAATAATAAATATCCTTTCAATTCTTGAATGTAATGGATCATCATCATATCATTAGTAATTTCTCACATATGGTTAATTCTTTTGTTGAGTGATGTTTTGAATTACAGGAAAGCAGCTTTCATCAAAATGAGCTGAGAAATGAAAAGGTGAAGGTTTATTGTAAGTAAAAGCGATGTAGTTTTTCCTATGGTGCATCTCAATAGCATTAATGATTTAATACTTCCGTTTTAAAATGTCTAGCACAATTTTAAAATTCTACAGACACAAATTGACCAAGCAAATGTAGTTTCAGCAACCCAAATTGCAAATCAGTTGGCTATGGTGGGTGTTAACCTGGCAGGAATACAACTTGGAGTGAGTAGTGAAATAAATGATGTATTTGCTTTGGCAAATCTTCTGTCAATTTAACCTTTTGTTGGAGAGAACTTTGTTTACCTACATTAGATAAATGATTTTGGAGTTTTTTGTCCAATAAGACGCATGTTATTGAGAGATAAATAGGCACAACTATCTGCAATTGAAGCTTATGATGCATCACATGACCCTGAGTAACCAGAGATCATCTCATCTCATTCAAGTAAGAAGAGAAATGTTAATTCGTGCATGGAGACACATTTTTTAGAGTAGAACAAAACAAAAAGGAAACACCTTGCTTAGCATTTTAATTCTTTCTTCTTTTTTCCCTAGCATTTTCTTTAGAATCCAAACATAGCTCTAGACGTTCTCTAAGAAATCTGGTTGTTGATGATTAGCGGCTGTATTCTTGAGCTGCAACTGAAAGTTCTACAATTTCAGAGATCAAGGCAAACCGTTTATAGTATTTTCAAATGCGATTGATTTTTCATCACGAACTGAAATCAAACTGATATCAAATGGGACAAGACCGTGATACAAATATCTAAAACTATTTATCACGGACGAAATCGTCCAAAGCTATATACGGAGTACATATCTCAAAAAAATATGGAGTATTTGTCTACTTCATCTTACCATATATAGAGTACTTCATATTTTATTATTCATTTTTAAATTCTTTCATTATTATTGTTATTATATTATTACTACTATTGGCATTTTTATAGTTATTAATAGTACGATATTATATGAATTGAAAAAAAACTATTTATAAAATTTTGACTCATTATCTTTTATTCTTTATGTTTATGATTCTTTTAAACTCGAAATCGATAATTCTATTTAATATAGTTGTGCTTTTTATAGAAATTTATCCATTTATTCCAATATTCTTCGTGCAATGTAGGTTCATTTTTTTGACACGGTTTGAGCATGGGTAGTATATTGTATTGTACTATTTCAAAATGGATGATATTGAATGGTTTTGGGGTTCATTCTGCATCGATACTGAACCTTTTAAATAAGAGCAATTCGTGATAGGTTCCAGTAATATCACAAACCGTTACGGAGAGCACCCACCCCTACTACTTTCAGGTTTTAAAGTGTTTTTAGGCCCGATACTAAATTTTGAATTCTCCCACTAAAATTGTTTCTATGCGGATAAATGATTCTCACACATCAATTTATATCATGAACTATTATTGATTAAAAATGAAAAAAAAATCCAAAAAAATGTATTTTTTTATTGGGTGCATTGTAGATTAACTTTAGAATTTAATAAAAAAATATTTACATATGTAGACATATACTTTTTCTATTCAGAATATCATATATTGGTTATATTAAAAATTATATTTTTAGATATTAGTTATTTTACATTTTTAAAAAGAGATATTTTTTATTCATCTCAAATTATAGAAATAATTTATTCCCGTGCAACGCACGGGTGAAATGCTAGTTACTTTTTAAAGGAAACATTATACGGAGTATATGTTTTTAAAAAAATATATTGATCACCACTTTTTTTATAAATTATAAAATATATGTGCATCTTTATTCAACAAACTAAATAAAATAGAGTTGATTTCATTAGAGAGTGACATGTGGCAAGCCGTATATGTTGGGAAATAAACACACAACACACACAAATTATCTGCGAGAAACGAGAGAAACAGAACACAAACGACACACAAAAATTTAACGTGGTTCGGTTTCCCTAATACACGGCTGCAACATGAGGAATTTCTTATTTCACTTGTGGTGCAGATTACAAGTACAAGTATGCAATATATATATAAGAAGAGCGCATCTAGGGTTTCGTAATATGGGTCGGGCCAACAAGTCAAGCCAAGCCTCCACAAACCCCACATTCTCCCACTTGGAGGCTTGATAGTCATCAACTGCCATCCGCCACGATTGCCTGTACATCGAGTAATCTTCCTCAGCTCTCTTGTTGCAGCGGCCCTCTCATCAGACAACTGAAAAGCCCGTTGAAGCTCTCCCAAGCTCCAACACATCAATCACGGCTGAATCTGCCCCTGACTCGTCCTTGGTCCCTATCGGCTCCCACTGCAGACGCACACTGCCGGATCCTAGAACATCCTGAGAACAAACACTCTCCATACTCAGCAAGAAATTTTCTGGAGATGTTTTAACAGCTGGAATACTGGTTCTCCGGATTGTCTTCTAGGAACCTTGGCTGAAGCACCACCTCTGCTCCCACTGCCACAGATACCTCTAACTGGCCTCTTTGAACCTTTCCTCGCTCGTCCAACCTGAGTCTGACCTGTGGCTCTAGGTTTCTCTCTTGCAAAGACAACCTTCTTCTGCCCACGAGACTCTGTGAACCGGACTTTGTTTCTCTTCTTTAACGTGGTTCGGTTTCCCTAATCCACGGCTGCAACAGGAGGAATTTCTTATTTCACTTGTGGTGCAGATTACAAGTACAAGTATGCAATATATATATAGGAAGAGCGCATCTAGGGTTTCGTAACATGGGACGGGCCAACAAGTCAAGCCCAAGCCTCCACAAACCCAATAGTATATGCGTCCCTATATTATCAAAGAGTGCTTCTTTGATGCACCTTGAATGTATATCATTTTTGTGGATTTTTTCATATAAAAAAATCTTTTTTAAATTTTTTATTAAAAAAATACTTATTTAAGTAGTAAAAAATATTTATTTTACTCATATGTAGGTCCATGATGGACGTTAGCTCCACCATAAAATTTACTATCCTCAAATGACGTGAAAGTTTGGAGTGCAATAAAAAAAATTGGGTGGGAGTTCGCGTCGGGTTGGGCTGGGTTTGCGTCAAGTCAGAGCAGAGGAGTTTATTGAGAGTTAGGGGCTATGAACTAAATTTTACAAATTGGCCACCGTAAATACCCCAATAACTCAATCGGAACCAATATCATTCCATAATATTGAAATCTAATTCATGAAAGCGGGAGTATCTAAACTGTATACATGTTAAAGGAAAAAGAATATTTGGCAAAATATTTGGAGATATTTGTGTATATATTGTTTTGGTAGTTTTTCTTGTATAGGGATTCTTTTCCTTTTCCTTTACTAATTAGGAGTCTCAACTTGTGAGATCCTATATATATGTCCTCATTGTAAATTGTAAAGACAAGAGAAGAAATCCAGAGAGAATTTCCTCCCAATTTATTGTTCTTTCATGGTATCAGAGCCAAAACCCTAGAGATTTTCAGCGACTACTGTTCACGATCGCCCGACATGGCGTCCATCGATCATTGCTCAGTTTCAGTCGGTTGTTGTTGTTTCCGGATAACGGAACGGTCGACCGTTGCTCTAGAACGGTCGAGCATGTCGACCGTCCCGTCAGCAGATTGTTTGGTTGATGCTGTTGTTGATTCTTCCGCCACCGCCGTACGCCACTCTGCTACCGCCATGGCCGATGAACAACCGAGGAAGGTAGTTTCACCTAAAGAAGAGGACAATCATGAGAGGGGATCCTCACTGTTTCCAAATTTTGATAATTTAACTCCAGAACAATGGAATGCTGTTCGGCATGTTTTCTCCCTATCACCGTTTGTTTCTAGTATGAAGCTTTCAGGTATTCCTGTATCACCACGTTGGATTATAGATACTGGGGCATCAAATCATATGACTCGTGATATTTCGTTATTGCATGATGTTGTGGGAGTATCACCATGTGAGATTGGTTTACCCAATGGCAAAAGAATTGTTTTTGTACAATCTGGGAAGATTAAATTAATAGAAACATTAATTCTGCATAATGTCCTATATGTTCCCACTTTGAGCTGTCATTTAATCTCTGTGTCACAATTAACAAGGAAATTGAATTGTGAGGCACATTTTGGCAACGATAAGTGTATACTACAGGACCTGTATTTAAAGGCAGAAATTGGTATTGGTGAGCAGGAAGGAGAACTTTATTACTTCAAGGAGCCTAAAAAGAAGATGGTGTGCAGTGCGAAGAAGGAGAGTATGTTTGATCTTTGGCATAAACGACTTGGACATCCTTCCTCTCATTTTTGTCTCTTGTTCCTGAAGTTGGAACAAGTAAGAGTAGTCATAGTTGTTGTGACATTTGTTTGCGTGCTAAACAGACTTGTGGGAGCTTTCCTTTAAGTTTTTATCAATCTGTTGATAAATTTGATATGATACACTGTGATTTATGGGGACCATATAGGACTCCAAGTTTTGATGGTTCTACAATGTTTTTGACCATTGTGGATGATTTTTCAAGAGGTGTTTGGGTACATTTGCTTGATTCCAAACGTATGGTTGGCACTGTTTTAAAACAATTCTGTGCTATGGTAGATCGACAATTTGGGAAGAAAATAAAGTGTGTTCGCAGTGATAATGGCACAGAATTTGAATGTCTAAACGAATATTTCTGGGAGCAAGGAACTATTCATGAGACATCTTGTGTGTCTGCTCCACAACAGAATGAGAGAGTAGAACGCAAGCACCGACACATTTTGAATATGGGTCGGGCTTTGAGGTTTCAGGCTGGTCTTCCGATTGTGTTCTGGGGAGAGTGTATACAGACCGCCGCACATCTGATCGATCAATCGCACACCTTCGTATTTGCTACGGGGGTCACACCATACGAGAAGATCTATGAAAAGCCACCCTCTTTGACTCATATTCGTGTTTTTGGGTGCAGATGTTATGCTCATAACTTGAAGAGAAATGGTGATAAATTTGCACCAAGAAGCAATCCTGGAATATTTGTTGGGTATCCACAAGGGAAGAAGGGATGACACATTTACTACCTGGACACTGGAGAAATCAAGGTGTCCCGGGATGTTGTGTTTTGTGAAGATATTTTTCCCTTTCTTGACTCCTACAGGTGCATCTCTTGATACAAGAAGTACAAATGAGGTTAGCTCTTATGATGAAGATGAAGAACTGCGGACGGAAAAAAAGATGGACCGTTCCAAGAGGGACAGTCGACTGGAGGAAAGCGGAAGAGCAGACAGGCTACAGACGGTCGACCTGATGGACCATTCAGATGTCCACGATCGACCGTCCGAGAGGCAGGATGACGGGTTCCTGAGAGATGACCAAATGGCCAACCAGGTGGACCGTCCTGATATCCACGGTCGACCGTCTGAGAGGCAGAATGACGGTTCTTTGGGAGATGATCAAACAGTCGACCGTGATGTGGAAGACGGTCGACCGTCTCTGAGGTAGAAAGTTAGCGATCCGGAACCGCTTCAGACGGTCAACCCCATGGACTGTTCCACTGATAGCAGTTGACCGTCCTTTTCCCAGCAGGCGGTGGAGAACTTGGGACGTGGTCAGCATGAGAAACATCCAAATGTACGCCTTGCCGATTATGTTACCCATGTAGCTGGTTCATATGTTGGTGAAAAATGCAAATATCCTCTTGCCTCGTATGTCACACACGAGAAGTTCTCTGACAGAAAAAAGTGTTTTCTCAGCGCACTTGATGCTGGAGTGGAGCCCACGAGTTTCAAGAAGGCATTCCAGGATGAACGATGGAGGAAGGCTATGAGAGAGGAGATTGATGCACTGGAGGCTAAGGGGACGTGGTCTCTTGTCTCTCCTCCACGCCATAAAAAGCCCCTTGGTTGCAAATGGGTGTATAAGATCAAGCGCAAGTCCAATGGAAGTGTGGAGAGATATAAGGCTAGACTGGTTATACTTGGTAATCATCAAGTTGAAGGACTTGACTACAAAGAAACATTTGCTCCTGTAGTCAAGTTGACCACTGTGAGAACACTTTTAGCAGTTGCAGCAGTCAAGAGGTGGGAATTGCATCAGATGGATGTTCACAATGCATTCCTACATGGAGATCTTCAAGATGAGGTGTATATGAGATTGCCACCTGGTTTCTCGAATTTGTTTAATGTGGTGTGCAAACTCAAGAAGTCTCTGTATGGCTTAAAGCAAGCTCCAAGGTGTTGGTTTGTCAAGTTGTCTGGAGCCTTGAAACACTATGGGTTTGTCTAATCTGTTCCTGATTACTCCATATTTTCTTTTGTTGGAAAGAAAGGAGTAATACATGTCTTGGTTTATGTTGATGATTTGATTATTGCTGGAGATAATTCAGAGATGGTGAGCAAGTTCAAAGCCTATCTGGGAGATTGTTTTCACATGAAGGACTTGGGAACACTGAAATATTTTCTTGGCATTGAAGTGGCGAGGATCACGTCTGAGATATTTCTCTGCCAACAAAAATACGCTTTGGATATTATTAATGAGGCAGGATTGTTAGGTGCCAGGCCATTGGATGCACCCATGGAGCCAAATCATCACTTGGCTCGTTCCCAAGCTCCTGTTCTAACGTATCCAGAACCATATCGTTGTCTGGTAGGGCGATTAGTCTATTTATCTGTTACACGACCGAAACTTTCTTATGCAGTCCATACGTTAGCACAATTCTTAAAGGAACCCAGGGAGGATCAATGGTCTGTAGCTCTTGGAGTTGTTCGTTATTTGAAAGGATGTCCGGGTCAAGGCATTTTTCTATCAGTAGAGAGTAGTCTTCAGCTCACAGGATGGTGTGATTCGGACTGGGCAGCATGTCCTTTGACGAGGCGATCCTTGACTAGATGGTTTGTACAACTTGGAAATTCGCCTGTTTCTTGGAAGACTAAGAAACAAACAACGGTGGCTCGCTCGTCTGCTGAGGCAGAGTATAGGGATCTTGTTGTCCTTACTTGTGAGTTGAAATGGTTGAAGAACTTATTGAGGTGCTTAGGGGTTGAGCATAAGAACCCCATGACCATCCGTTGTGACAGCACAACAGCTCTTCACATTGCTGCTAATCCGTTTTTTCACGAACGCACGAAGCACATTGAGATCGATTGTCACTTTGTTCATGATGAGCTTGTACGAGGAGAGATCCGTGCCATTCATGTCCCTACTATGCATCAGCTTGCAGATATACACACGAAGGCACTGGGGAAGTCACGATTGGAGTTCCTTATTCCCAAGTTGGGCATTTCTTTGTTACATGCTCCAACTTGAGGGGGGGTGTTAAAGGAAAAAAAATATTTGGCAAAATATTTGGAGATATTTGTGTATATATTGTTTTGGTAGTTTTTCTTGTATAGGGATTCTTTTTCTTTTCCTTTTCCTTTACTAATTAGGAGTCTCAACTTGTGAGATCATATATATATATATATATATATATATATATATATATATATATATATATATATATATATATATATGATCTCATTGTAAATTGTAAAGACAAGAGAAGAAATCCAGAGAGAATTTCCTCCCAATTTATTATTTTTTCACAGTTTGGCCAAAGAAATGCACCGGGCAGAGTTTAAACTTTATTATTTGAATGCAAATTAAAAGAAATTATTACCTTCGTCCCGGAATATTTGTCCAGTTTTGACTTTTTACGGTCAATAACTTTTGACTTATAAATAAATACGGAGTAAAATATAGATTGTATTCTTCAAATATATATATATATATATATATATATATATATATATGTGTGTGTGTGTCTGTGTGTGTATATATATATATATATTGTATATGAATTTAGTAAAATAATATTTTGAAAATATTTTATAATGTAAATATAATAAAATTATATTTGTATCAATATCTAATATCATTTTTATTTAATTTGGGATCAAATTTTACCAATTTTAACCAAAAAAGTCAAAAATAGACAAATACTCTGGGATAGAAAGAGTAGAAAAGAATAGTTTGATTTTTCTTTATTTGTGGGAAGGAGATCGGTAGAAGGCTCCACGCGCCGGCCATTACGGCGTAAGATGACTTGCATTTTCGTCAAAAAGCCCTTGCATTTTGATTTGGTCTCTCCGTGTGGTATCCGTCGTTGACGAACTCGCCCGGTTCTCCTTTCACCAGAATCAAGATAAGAGAAATTAAAAGACAAGCCAGCAATAATAATAGACAAAAATAACACGGCCTTAGGGCTTAGGTCATTAAATAGTATAAATACCAAGATAACCGGAGTATTCTTTTACAACCCTACTACATTTTCACTAAAAAATACTCCAAAGATATACGTTAATATTTTGATGGTTCACACTGACACAAAATGCTGGTGCGTGAACAAAAATTTACACTAATTCTTCGGCTAGAGTATAAACTTGACTATGAAAAGTCAAACTCGATCACAATTAACATATTTTTAACTCTGCTATTACAAGTTTTATTTTATTTTATTTAAAAAAAAATGTCAAGGAAACGTCAAGAAAATAAGTTTTATTTTTGTTTTCATATGTGTTTTTTATAGTTCATTTGATAAAATAAAATAGACATGTCACCATTTGTTTTATAAAATTTTTGATATAATTTTAAATATATATGTAGTACATTTTATTTCTATACCAAATCGTTAATACGAAGTATACTCTCCTCGTCCCAATATGTGTTATTACCTTGACCACAAATTAAATATATTTTTAAATATGCTAAAAGATTTCATTTTTCCAAAATTTGTCTTAAAATGAACTCAATTATTTGAGTTTTTTAATCTCCTTGTAGTTTTAGACTTTAGTGGGAATATTATTGTGAGAGGAAAAGAATAGTTTGATTTTACTTTTTTTCTTAAGGAAAAGAATGGGAAGGAGATCGGTAGAAGGCTCCACGCGCCGGCAATTACGGCGTAAGATGACTTGCATTGTCGTTAAAAAGCCATTGCATTTTGATTTGGTCTCTCCGTGTGGTATCCGTCGTTGACGAACTCGCCCGGTCCTCCCTTTCACCAGAATCAAGATAAGAGAAATTAAAAGACAAGCCAGCAATAACAATAGACAAAAATAACACGGCTTTAGGTCATTAAATACCAAGATTACGGGAGTAATCTTTTAGAACCATCCTACACTTTCACCAAAAAATGTACCCTAAAATTCCACTAAAGATATACTCCGTATACTAATATTTCGATGGTTTATAGTGACACAAAATGCTGGTACATTAACAAAAAGTTGTATTAATATTGGTGCTTGTGTGAACTATCACCCTAACATTACATTGCCACAAAATAAAGATTCAAGCCTGCAGTGTACAAATTAGGGTACAATTCCTGGGTCACAAGACTCACAACTAGCTTAATCCATTCTTTTAATAGGTAAAGTTAAGTGCCTAATTATTTAGTAAAAAGTTACTCGCTACATTTCTCACAACAGTGATGGTCTCATTTTTTACACATCTTATAAAACACTTCAATTCTGTCTAAAATATCTAAGAAACTCTCAAGAAAAAAGACTAAAATATGAGTAAAATATTGAAACTATACTAAAATAGGAGTTCCATGTTTTTATTCTTGAAATAAAAGTTCAAATGCATTTACAAATTTACAATACCAATCATGAGGATGTAGATTACGTAAAATGCACATGTACAGTGTCACATTACCACACTGCGAATTTTTATTTAAGGAATTAAAATATAGAACTCATATTTTGGTACGTTCTCTATGTTTTAGTCTTATTTATGGTGATTGTTTTTACTCTCAAAACCACTTTTACCCATAAAAAATACTTAATGGGCGTATTTTAGACATTTTAGGTAGGGTAGACGTGTTTTATGAGATGCAAAAAAAAATTAGAGGGCTAAATTGCACTAGTATAGTAGTATCCCTCATGGTTTGGAAAATAAGTACCAATACCCTCTCTGTTTTCAAAACTTATTTCTAAAGTTCCTGTGGTTTCAAAATATTGCATCCATACCCCCTCTGATCACTTTCCAGCCTTTTATCTTGCGAAGAAGGAGGCATTTGTACCTATTTTCCAAACCAAATGGGGCACCAATGTTCATTTCTAATCATTTATTTATTTTTTATTTTTCCTTTTTTTCCCTATCAATTTATTTTATGAGTTTATTGCACCAGTACCCCCGTGGTTTGGCAAATGTGCACTGTTATTCCCCGCAATTCAGAACATACGTCGTTGCCCCCTATGGTTCTAATAGTCTTATGTCAATGCCTCTTTAGACTAAAATACTCTTCAAATATCAAATGAATAGTTAGTTATGCTACCCTTTATGCTTTTGGAAATAGGCACCAATGCTCCCTCTCTTTTTCTTTATTATTTTTCTTTTTTCTTTTTTTTCCTCGTAAAGAGAAGAAAAATATTTGTCAAATAATGAAAAGTTCTTTTTCAAAACTATATTTAAAAAAAATTAAAAATATAATTATTTGTTTCTGAAATAAAAATGAAATTAAAAAATTAAAATATACTCCGTACTTCACTTATCTCAAGTTAAATACATTATTTTCAGTTTTAATTTGTCTATAAAATGTTCATATTTTATGAATGTGTCGGGAACAAAAGAATTCAAAGTAAGGTCTTTTTAATACTTAGTTAATTATATAGTCATAACAT